AACCAACAAATGACAAAACCAAGCGACAAATCGTCCCCATAATATTTAAAAACTATGTGTTAAGTTTCCCCCTGTAGAAGGACATGCCCAGCTTTTAAAGCTAAGCAGCGTGCTGCCGTTGTCGTGCTGCCTTCGTTCCGCCGCTGCTGGAAGGCGAGATCAGAACGAGAGCGGTCAACGATAGCGTCAGAACACCGTCTAACTCCAGCCCTGGAAGGAACTGCGTAAACATTCACTGTCAGAGCTGGGTGCAGATTTCTTGGATCGGCGCTGGGCCCCTCCTGGCGACGCTTCCGGCGCCGCCCATGGCCCGCTCCGCGCACAGGGGAGGGGAGGTCCAGCGCAGATCCAAGAAGTCTGCGCGGAGCTCCCGAAGTGTCGAAGCAAGGGGCAGGGCGACGACGACGTCGACGACGCCGCCGCCTGCAGTCAGGAACTGCCCGCTACACGCAGGAGTGACCCTGGGTAAGAGTGACCTCTGGTGCGCGGCTTTCCGGGGGCCGCGGGGGCACCGAACACAGGCGCGCAAGACGTTACGATCGCATCGCGTTCGGCGATTGGGGGGGCCCCACTGGGCCCGCACCAGGGGTCACGCCGGCGAAAGGTCACTCTTACGTCTAGTCTTAAGTCGGGCCTGTCCCCCTACAGGGAGATCTTCGACGAAAAATTAAAAACACCCCCCGAAAAATACCCCAAAAAGGCAAAACAATACTCAAAAAAAAATCCCCCGACAATTGTTTGTTTCACATTTTTTGGCTACTTTTGCCTCAGCGTGTCGCCGCGGCCGCCCCCGGCGACGCGCTCGGCCCTTGCAGGCGGAAGAAGCGCGCCGCTGCGCTCCCCGGGGCGGGGGGGCGCGGAGAGGCTCGGCGAGCGTGGAGGCCCCGGGGGCCGGGATGCGGAGAGCGCGTCGCGCAGCAGCGCACATACGCAGAAGGCAGGCGTGTACGCCCTGGCATGGCGTGTACGCCCTCCTGGCCGAGGCCAGGACTTAAAAGGGCCCTGGAAAGGACACGGCCGTGTTTTCACCGGTTCCGTTTTGCCGTTTTGTTCTGCCGGTTCCAACGCCGTTTTTTTACCGGTTCCGTCGCCGTTTTTTGTCCGGTTCCGGCTCCGGTTCCACTCCTGTTGCCGTTTCCGGTCGCCGTTGTTTGGCCGTTTCCATTTTCAAGGGACATTTTTGAGGAAACGGTGCGAGGCCAGGAGGGTCTGTACACCATCCTACAGTCGGGGCGCTGACCTAAGGAACCCTAAACAAGGAACGAGGCCCCTTTTTCCCATCGGCCAAAGTTCGATTCTCCATCGGAAACCTGAGGAAAACCTACGGCAAGCTGTGAAACAACCAAGGAATGCTGAGCCCCTCCCCAACGAGAAGGGTTTCTTCTTCAGCGCCCCGACTGTGGGGCCCAGGACGGCCCTGGCCTGGCACGGTGGTGGTGTACAGATGCCTCCGTCGGAGCGCAGAGGGCCAGACGCGGCGCAACGGCACGCCGTCCCGAGGCTCCCGGCCGAAGGCTTGTGCAGCACGTCGTTCCCTGTTCGGACGTCGTTTTTTTGTTGGGGGAGGTTCCCAGAGGTGCTTCTGCGGGGGGGCTCTCGACGTCACGCAGCTGCGGGCGGCCCTCGGGGGGCCAGAAGCGGCGCAGCGACACGCTGTCCCAAGGCTCCCGGCCGAAGGTTTGCGCAGCACGTCGTTCCTTGTTCGGACGTCGTTTTGTCGGGGGGGAGGTTCCGAGAGGTGCTTCTCTGCTGGGGGGCGCTCGACGTCACGCAGCTCCGGGGCGGCCCTCGGGCTGCTCGCCTGTGCGGGCCCCGACAAGGGTCGGGTGGAAACGCGAGTCCGCGTGGAAAACTTGTCTCCGGGAAGGGGTCCAGACCTCGGGGAGAGCGTGATCCACCGCCGCTTTACTGTGGAAAATTGCCGCCCTTTTCCTCCGGAACCTGGGAGTCCCCCCCCCCCTTCCGAAAATCCCCCCCCCCCTGCTGGACCCCCCCCCCCTTCCCCCGGCAAAACCCCCCCCCCCCTCCCCTAACCCCTCCCCAACCCCCCCCTCGAACTCGAAAACCGGGGGGGGGTCACTACCGGTTCGAACCCCCCCCCCTCGAAAACCGGAGGGGGGGGTCACTACCGTTTCGTCGAACCACTGAGCTGTCCCACTGTTCCCACCACTGTCCCCACTGTCCCCACCACTGTCCCCACTGTACCTCTGTCCCATTGTCCCACCGCCGTCCTCGCCACCGCCTTCACCACTGTCCCCACCACCACTGTACCCTCCACTGTCCTACTGTTTCCACCACATTCCCACTGTCCCCACACCACTGTCCCCACCACCACCACCGTCCCCACCACTGTCCCACTTTCCCCACTGTTCCCACCATTGTGGTCACCATTGTCCCCACCACTACCGTCCCCACCACTGTCCCACTGTCCCCACCACTGTCCCGCTGTCCCCTCACCACTGTCCCCACCACCACCGTCCCCACCACTGTCCGCACCCCCCCTCGGTTTTCGAGTTCGAGGGGGGGTCGGGGGGGTTCGAACCAGTAGTGACCCCCCCCAGTTTTCGAGTTCGAGGGGGGGGGGGGTTCGAACCAGTAGTGACCCCCCCCCTTTTCATGATGAGCTGGGGGGGGGGGAGGGGTTCGAACGGGTAGTGACCCCCCCCAGGTTTTCCGGACGGGGGGGGGGGGGAGGGGTTCGAACCGGTAGTGACCCCCCCCCGTTTTCCGCCAGCAGCGGTAGAACACGCTCTTTCAGGCATCGGGGGGCCCACGTTGAGAAAAAAAACGACGTCGCGGGGGTCTGGCATCAAGGCACGAGTGTGATATCTGGCAGTGGCGTAAGCCTGTTGACCCTCAGGTCGGTCATGCCCCTGCTCCCTGCCTGCTGTCTCCCCCCGGTGGCGGCGCGCAGGGGGGGGGGGTCGGGAGAGGGAGGAAGGCTTCTCCGACGGAGGCTGCTATTTCGAAGGCGCGGGCCTTACATCTACAGACAAAGCCCGCGCCGTCTAAGAGGTAGCAGCCTCCTTCTGAGAAGCCGCCCCCCCCATACATCGAGGCCTCCTAGATGGGGTCCGACTGGATGGGGTCGCAGAATCCCCCTGCGACGTCGGCGATGCATCGGCGACGTCGGCGTGGGGAAACACGGGACCCTCATCGAGCCGCATCGCTGATGCATCGCCGATGCATCGGCGATGCGGCGCGACCCTCTGACCCCATCTGCTCCGACACCATCCGGGAGGCCTGGACATACCCCCCTCTGCACGTGTCCGGCCCTGCCCCTGCCCTGTGTGTTGGCTCCCACCCCTCTGCGCGTGGCCGCCCTGCCCCTGCCCTGTGTGTGTTGTGTGTGTGTGTGTTGTGTGTGTGTGTGTGTGTTGTGTGTTGTGTGTTGTGTGTTGTGTGTTCTGTGTGTGCGTGTGCGTGTGTGTGTGTAAGTGTGTGTAAGTGTGTGTAAGTGTGTGTGTGTGGTGTGTGTGTGTGTGTGTTGTGTGTGGCGTGTGGTATGTGGTGTGTGGTGTGTGCTGTGTGGTGCGTGGTGTGTGGTGTGTGTGTGTGTGTGCTGTGTGGTGTGTGGTGTGTGGTGTGTGGTGTGTGCTGTGTGGTGTGTGCTGTGTGTCTCTTGCCCGCTCGCGTGCCTCGCCCCGCCGGCCCTGGCCCCCCCCCCGCCTTCTTGCGTGCCTATCGCAGCGTGCCCGCTGCTCCCCCCCTGCATCCGAGAGGGGGGCGGCCAGGAGGGGGGCGTCCGTCCGAGGGGGGGGGGCGCAGATCATGGCCGGCGGCACGTGCGCGGCACCAGGAGAGGGGGGGGGGAATGACACCAGGAGATGCGCCAGGAAATCAGAGGGAAGGTCGTGGCCCACGCCATGATGTCCCCCCCCCCTCATCATTAACCCCCGCTTGGCCGCCCCCGACTCCTCCCTCCTCCTCTCCTCCTCCTCCTCCTCCTCCTCCTCCTCCTCCTCCTCCTCCTCCTCCTCCTCCTCCTCCTCCTCCTCCTCCCCAGACCCCCCCATACGTGATCTGGCCGGGCAACACCGACTGCCGGGAGCATGCGACGAAGCGCGTATACCTGACAGACTCAGGCCCAGCCAGGGGCTCGGCGAGGAGCGGAGCGGAGCGGCGCCGACGTCGCCCCCCAGGGCGTCCCGTGCAGGGAACGGCGGGTGCGCAGGGGCGCCTCACTTAGACCTCTGGATGTATATCGATTCCATACTCCTCCAGTGTTCGTCGTCGTGGGCAAAGGGGTCCCAGTCAGTCCTCCGCCCCCCCTCTGACGTGGTCCGTGTAGTCGTCGACGACGGACGACGACGACGACGACGGCGACGGCGACGGCGACGGCGACGGCGACGGCGACGGCGACGGCGACGACGACGACGACGGCGACGACGACGACGACGACGACCTGCACGACACGTTCGCACAGTCGAGCAGATGCCGTGGCACGGCGAGTAGAGGGGCCATCCGGACGGGACACCCCGAGGAAACTTCGCCACGGCTCCTTCCTGGAGTGATGGGCATGTTTTCCACCACCACCACCATAAGTTGGAGGGGGGAAGGAGGAGGAGGAGGACGAGGAGGAGGAGGAGGAGGAGGAGGAGGAGCAGGAGGAGGACCCCCTCCCCCGGGCGGTGGTGGTGGTGGTGGAAAACAGGGCCATCATGGAGGGCTCCTTCCTGGAGGGCACATGCTCTCCTGGTCGGGGGGGGATCTGACACGGAGGCTCCTCCTCGGGGGCTCTGAGAAGGCAGTGTGGGGGGGGGCGCTCAGAAAGGGCTCTGCTCCTTCTGGCAGGGCTCTGGGCAGGTCTCTGCTAGACACCCCCCTAGATGGGATAGCGGCTCCACATCGCGCCTTCATCGCCGATGCATCGGCGATATGGCGCGTCGGAGATGCGGCACGATCCTCCGGCCACATCTGCCCTGGCCCCACTTGGGAGAGCTGACCATCTCGCCCTGCCTCGGCTGACGTGCTGCCAGCGGTGGGCCTCCGGGCCGCACTCAGCCGAAGGAGATCTGCGACCTGCCGCCTGGCGGCTGCGCCACGTACGTGGTCCGCCGGTCGGTGACGACGTTGCCGACGTTCTGGTTGCTGCCAGTTGCGTACGCATTCGACGAGCGTTCCTCGGAGACCCAAAACTGAGTCAACAGAAACGTGCGGAGGTCCTCGCGGATGTCTTACGCCGTCGCCTGGCCCCCTCCCCCTAGCCGCGGAGCGCGCCAGGGGCGGCGCCGAAGGCGCCGCAAGCGGGATCCAGCGTCGACCCGAGAATTCCGCACGGACCTCTAAAAGTGTACGTTCGGCGGCGCGCCGGGGGAGGAAGCGAGAAGGGGCGGGCCTTCTCAGAAGGTCCAGACGTCCCCCGGCCTCCTGAGAAGCTTTCTCTGAGCCTTCCCCGAAAACGCAAAAGACTTCTCGGAAGGCGCGATGACTTCCGAAAAAGTCCGTCGCCTTGTGAGAAGGCCTTCTCCTTCTCGTACGTCGATGCGGGGTGTTCTTCGGTCCTGCGCCTGGGCGCCGAACCCGAGGCCGTAGCCCTGGTCCGCTGGCGCGGCGAGGCCTCTCAGGACACCCAGAACTCTGGCGCTGCAGTTCCTGTCACAGCGTAGTGTGCCGAATGGTCTGGACCCCTTTTCCGGAGAGCGGCTTGGGGGGCAGCTACTGGGAGATCTTCGTCTGAAGGATTACGGAGGATTGCGTAAGCCTCATGGGGGGGCTGCTACGCCATATTTGGACGTGGATTAAGCGGGAATGGAAGCCAGATTAAACGGGACTGAGCCGGATTGAGCGGGATTAAGCCGGATTGAGCTGGATACCGCACCAGGGAAACATCAGAATTTGACCTCACAGGAGGAGCATCCGAAACCGGCTGTTCAATCCCGAGCCCTTCTCGGAAGGCCCCTGGGCCTGGGGCACCCCGGGCAGAGGGAGGCCCTCGGGACGAAGAACAAAGACGGCAAACAAGCACTCCCGTCGGGCTCGCGATGCTCCTTCTCGCAGCGCGGAGATGGCGGCGTCCCACATTGGGTCCGAGGAGATGGGGTCAGAGGATCGCTCCGCGTCGGCGATGAATCGCGCCGATACATCGCTGATGCATCGGCGATGCAGCGCGGCCCTCCTCGGACCCAATTTTTGGCGGTGGGCCCGGGGGCAAGTGAGATGGGGCAGCCTTCTCAGAAGGCGGCGGGGCGTCTCAGGAGCGGCCGCGCCTTCGCAGAAGTCTTCCGAGCCTTCGCCGAAGACAGAGACGGTTTCTCCGATGGCGCGAGGGCTTCTGAGAAGCCTGCCGACGCCTTCTGGGCAGGCCTTCTCGTTCTCACTCCTCCCCTCGCTCGCGGCCGATGCGTTGATGCTGGGTGTTCTTCTTCCAGGTCCTGCGCCTGGGCGCCGAGCCCCCTCCCACTTCTCCCCTCCCCCCGGCTCCCCGCCAACATCCGTCGGAGGCCTATCATCGGGAGCCGCCAAGAGAGGGGGGTGTCCAAGAGGGGGGGTGCAGATCATGACCGGCGGCATGTGCGCGGCCCAGCGGGGGGTCCAGGGACGTCAAGAAATACGAAGCGGCGCCGTGAAATCTGGGGAAATATCATGGCCCCCGCCACGATAGCCGCACCCCCCTAGTCATCACCCCCCTCCTTGCCGACCCCGAGATCATTCGAGGCAGAGCCTGCGCCTGCCGCCCGGGCAGGACCTCTCCGCGAGGCGGCAGCGCCCTGCCCGGCGCGACCCGCTCCTCCTCCTCCTCCTCCTCCTCCTCCTCCTCCTCCTCCTCCTCCTCCTCCTCCTCCTCCTCCTCCTCCTCCTCCTCCTCGTCCTCCTCGTCCTCCTCCTCCTGACCCCATGAAGGGAGGCCTGGGCGGGAAGTCTGCGCCCGCTGGCTCGCGCTCGGGGGGCTCGCGCTGGCTCGACGGGGCCGCCGGGGAACGGCGACGTCGGACCCAGAGCACGGGATCCGGCGCGAGCTCCTGCTGCAGGCCCCCCCCCCTCGGGCGAAGACGGGGGCGGAAGACGGGGGCGTCGAGAAGCGTCGGCCAGAGCTCCGGAGAGCTCGAGCCTCTCCTGGTCGGGAGCTGCTGACGCCCGAAAGGGGCACGGAAAGAATGGGCACAGTGCCCCACAACAAGTGTTGTCCCCCAACCACCAGCGGCCGCTGATGGGCAGGCGGCCTCCTGCCTCAAATGGTCACAGGCCGCGGCGGCGCGGACAGCGAGTCCTGCTCAAAATGAACAGGAACTGCTGTTGGGCATTGTACCCGTGAGAAAAGAACACACACACACACAGTGGGAAAAAAACACTGGACAAAAAACACACACACACACTGTGGGAACAAAAACCACACACACACAGTGGGGGGGGGGGGGAAAAGACAAGACACGGTGGGAAACAAAAAAACACACTGTGTGTGTGTTTGTTTTGTTTCCCACAGCGTGTGTGTGTTGTTGTTTCCTACTGTGTGTGTGTGTGTGTGTGTGTTTTGTGTTCCCTCTGTGTGCTTTCGTTCCCACAGTGCGTTCTTTCCGTACCCATTTCGTTCGTGCAAATGCTCCTCGTCCTCCTCGTCCTCATCCTCCCCTATTCCTCCTCCTCCTCCTCCTCCTCCTCCTCCTCCTCCTCCTCCTCCTCCTCCTCCTCATCATGAGGACGAGGATGAGGAGGAGGAGGAGGAGGAGGAGGAGGAGGAGGATTTCGTTCGTGCAAATGCTCGGCGTGTCGCCGCGGCGGTCCCCTGCGGCACGCTGCGCCCCTGCGAGCGGGCATCGCGCGCCTCCCGCCTGCTCCTTGGGGCAGGGGCCTCGGCAAGGCTCGGGGCGCGGAGGGGCGCGGTGGGCAGACGCCAGCGGAGCCACCTGCTCCTCCTCCTCCTCCTCCTCCTCCTCCTCCTCCACCTCCTCGTCTTCCTCCTCGTCCTCCTCCTCGTCCTCCTCTCCCCTTCTCCTCCTCCTCGTCCTCCTCCTTCTCGTCCTCCTCCTCCTCCTCCTCCTCCTCCTCCCCCCCTCTTGTCGTGACCCCCCCTCTTGTCGTGGGCACAAGCCAGCGGCCCCCAGCGCTGGCGCTGCAGGACGTGCAGCGCGGTGCCTGCGGGTTCGGCACGCGGCCGCAGAGACGGCACGGAACTTCTGCCCACGAGGCGTCTGGCCCCCATCGGCCAGCACTGCCGTGGTGCACGAGGGGGCTGCCTCTGCGACGGCGCTTGGCGCACCTGGCGAGGACTCGGGCTGCTAGCCTGATCTGGCACAGGCTTAACAACTGCGTTCGCATCAGGAGCTCGCATCAGCGAACGCTGGCACGCCCGTCCACCCGTCGAACCCACTAACTACAACAAGGGCTATCTAGCGAAGATGCTGGGCCATGTGGAACAATACTGATGTGACTTCAGTCGGACCTAGGCCAGAAGAATATCCTTTAATCATATTTGTATGACCCCGACGCTGCCACACACCTTGCACGCGGCTCGGGATGCTAGCCAGAGATTCTACATCGCACCCCGTTGGGTTCGAGAGGCGACAGACTGATACAGAAAAGGGGGCACGCAACGACGTCCCTCAAGAATATAAGACCTCCGCTAGCCAAAGCTGAAGAACATCATAGGGTACCCCCCAGGATACACAATATCCAACAGACACCAAGCCAAGAACACCAGGGTACGCTCCTCGCACCCACCTCGATCTTACACCTCGGTCCGGCTGTACCAGAAGGCTGCCAGGAGGGGAAGAGGGAGAAGAGGAGTGTCCCTTCCTCCCTCTCCTCTATCCTGCATCCTGCCAGCAACAGTGTTCTCCAAACGCTGCCGCTTCCTCCTCCTCCTCCTCCTCCTCCTCATCCTCCTCCTCATTCCCCCCTCCCCCCCTCCTCCTCCCCCTCCTCCTCCCCCCCCTCCTCCTCCTCCTCCTCCCTCCTCCTCCTCCTCCTCCTCCTCCTCCTCCTCCTCCTCCGCCTCCTCCTCCTCCTCCTCCTCCTCCTCCTCCTCCTCCTCCTCCTCCTCCTCCTCCTCCCTCCTCCTCCTCCTCCTCCTCCTCCTCGTCCTCCTCCTCCTCCCTCCTCCTCCTCCTCCTCCTCCTCCTCCTCCTCCTCCTCCCTCCTCCTCCTCCTCCCTCCCTCCCCCCCCCCCCCCCTCCTCCTCCCTCCTCCTCCTCCTCCCCCCTCCTCCTCCTCCCCCCTCCTCCTCCTCCTGGGCCGACGGGGAGGACGAGGAGCAGAGGCCAGCGGAACGACGGGGCGACGGCGCGCCGGCGCCTCGCCGGGGCGAGGGCACCCTGCCCGGCGCCTGCTGCCCCCAGGGCGCGGGCGGCGGCGCCGCCTCGCGCACGAGGTTGCCCCCGGGCGGGCCGTCGCGGGAGCCCGCGCGGGCGGCGGCGCCGGGCCAGTCGGGGCCTGTCGGCAGAGGGGCCCGCGGGCGAGAGTTGTGCCAAGACGGGCGTGTCCCCCTACAGGAGGGGGAGTTTGGGGGGAAACCCCAAAAAAATACACCCAAAACATGCTCCCCAAGTGGGCAAAAATAGTCCAACGATCGTCCCCTGGCTATTTCTTACTGTTTTTGAATACTCCTCCTGTAGAGGGACAGGCCCAACTTAAGATTCGTCTGTAACTATCCAGTGCGTCTTGGACTTTCTTGCAAGGGGCACCGCAAGGTCGAGGCGCACTGGATGTGGACAACCATCGAGCCTCTACATAGGGGCCAGACTCTCATCCATACCCAGTGCGCCTCGGGGTTCTGGGGAGGGGAAACCGAAACTCCAAGCTGCAGTGGATGCGGACACAAGTCTCGCCCGCAGGGCATCCTTCCCAGGCCCCCTCGGGTCGTGAAGAGCATGACTACGTCGCGGCGCGGCAGAAGCAATCCGCACGCGCGCGCGGGCGAGCCGGGCGACGGCATGGCGAATGGCCCAGGTGCAAGAGGAAAGGGGGGGGGAAATAGGGGGGGGGGAAATAGGGACGGCCGCGGGAGGAAGGAAGGGGGCCAGCGCGCTGAGCCGTGAACAAACACGCGCTGGGATGTTTGCCGCTATGTTCGGCCTCTGGGGAGGCCCTCAGTGGGCCCCAGGACCGTCAAAAAACGACTCGGGATGAAAAACCCAACAGGGTCGAGACTTCCGGAGACCGCACACTGAGCCCGTCCTCGGAGAAGAGGGTCGGGAATTCTGGGGACAGCGCAGCGGGCAGAAACGAAGGGACCGTCTCTGGGGTCGTGGGGGACTCGCATCTGAGGCCGATAGGGTGCAGGGAGGAGGAGAAAGAGAAGGAGGAGGAGGAGGAGGAGGAGGAGGAGGAGGGGGAGGATGAGGAGGGGGAGGAGGGGGACCAGTGTAAAACCAAGAGTCATCAACGATGTTGGAACTAAACCTCCCTCCAAGCTCCCTCTTCATGGCCTCCCACAACGTTTCATTTCCATTGAAAGAACTGCCTCGTTGGAAGACAGCCGTTTGAAGATCCTGAAGCAGGCCAAAACATTGTTCTCGGGACTTCAACGCCACGTATCAACCTGACTGCTGCGTCTTGATGATCCGGAATCGTACCAGAGCGCCACGTTTGGAACTTCAACACCGCAAATCAACATAACTGTTGCACCCGCGTAATCCTGAATCCTTCCAAAACACCATTTCTGGTACGTTGATCATGGGAACCCGTGAAGTTCTGGCAAAGTTTCAAAACGAATGCGCGCGGCGCTAAGGCGAGAGCCACAGTTTGAAAAAGCACCGCCCTCAATCCATGAAGCTCTTGCAATTATTTCACAACGAATGTGGGCGGAGCAAAATCGAGAGCCACATGTTGAAAACGACCCGCCCTCAATCCGTGAACCTCTTGCATTTGTTTAAACGAATGTGCGCGGCGCTAAGGCGAGAACCACAGTTTGAAAAGGAACCGCCTTCAACTTGTGAAACGTTCGCAAATTGTTTTAAACGAGTGCGCGCGGCGCTAAAGCGAGAGCCACATGTTGAAAACCACCCGCCTTCCATCTGTGAAACTGTTCTGTTGGCACTTCTTAAGCTTCAGTACCATAAAGGGCGAGGACGCCTCAGGCGAAACGCCCGACCCGCCCTAAAAACTGGCCTCGGGGTGCGACAGGGAGGAGTTCTCCATACAGACATCGGCCTGACCTAAGGAACGATAAATATAAAGAACGAAGCCCCTTTTTATCCCAAGGCATAACGCATAAGGAACGATAAATAACAAATAACGCATAAGGAACTCTAGATAACGCATGCAAGCCTAAGGAACGACCGAGCCCCTTTTGAAAAGCAAGTGTTTCTTATTCAAGCCGCTCGCTGTAAGGAGAAGGAGTGGAGCAGGAGCGTTGTCTCTGGGGCCATCGTGAGGGCCGCCGTCCGGGAGCTTGCTCGGACGCCCTCACGCAAGGCCCGGGAGGGCGAGCACACACTCGACCGTCGACCGGCAAACCAGGGCCTTGCTGAGTCGCCCCCCCCCCAGCCACCTGCAGCACGGCCCAGGGCTTCTTTGGGTTGGCATGAGATGTCTCCTCCTCCTCCTCCTCCTCCTCCTCCTCCTCGTTTTTCCTCCCCCTCCAATGTTTGATCCTCCTCCTCCTCCTCCTCTTCCTCCTCCTTCTCCTCACTGTGTTCGCAAACGCGGCCCGCTTGGGAAGGCCGGCCCCAGTGCGTCCAGGATGGCCCAGGAGGCCCCAAGATGGCTCTCAGGACGACCTCATGGTAGCCATCTGTACAGTCGGACCTAGGCCAGAAAGGCATCCTTCGAGAACATGGGACCCTCCGTCGGCCCAAACACACAGAACATCCAAGGGTACCCCCCCCATGATGCACAAGAACAACCAACAAACCTTAGGAACCTTAGGGTACCCTCCCCGAACCGACCTCGATATTTCGCCTCGGGCCGACCGTAGCAGACGCAAAGCGGCGTACACATATACTTCCGGACCTCCACACGAAGTTCGCTGGTTCGGCTGGAAAGCGCGGAGCGCGCCTGGGGGAGGTGCCGGAGACGCCGCCAGGGTGGCCCAGCGCCGATCCGAGAAATCCGCGAGGGGGTCAGACATTGTATGTTTGTGCAGTTGCTCTTCCTCCGATCTTGGATGGAGGCATGTTGTAGAGGCATCCCAGATGGGGTAAGAGTAGATGTTGCCAGAGCATCCCGCCGCATCGCCAATGCATCGCTGATGCGTTGGCGATGCATCGGCGTCGTCGGCGATGCATCGGCGACGGCGGCGTGGAGAAAATCGTGCTCCGCATCGAGCCGCATCGCTGATGCATCGGCGATGCGGCAATATCCTCCGAGCCCACCTGCTCGGACTCATCTGGGCAGGGCTCGAGCTAAAAGGTGTTCTTCGTGGTCGGTTCGTTCTCGTTCTCCTTCGCTCCGACTTCTTTCTGCCTCTGCTGCGAAACGAAGGTCGAGACAAGAACGGTCCCTACGAGATCGCCAAAGCACCGCTTAGCTCGAGCCCCGCTTCTGGGGGAGGCCTGGAATGATGGGCCAATTTTCCACCACCACCACCACCACTCTTATCGGTAGGACGGGGGAGAAGGAAGATAGGGGAGGTCCTCCTCCTCCTCCTCCTCCTCCTGCTCCTCCTCCTCCTCATCATCATCATCATGGTCATCCTCCCCCTGCTCCCCCTCCTCCCCCTCAAGCTCCTCCTCCTCCTCCTCCCCCTCCTCCACCTCCTTTTCCCCCTCCTCCTCCTCCTCCCTCCTCCCTCCCTCCTCCTCCATCCGCCTCCCCTCCTCCTCCTCTCCTCCTCCTCCTCCTCCGCCGCCTCCCCCTCCCTCCGCCTCTTCCTCCTCCGCCTCCTACTCCTCCTCCTCCTCTTCTCTCCTCCTCCTCCTCCTCCTCCTCCTCCTCCTCTCATCCCGCCTCTCGCTCCTCCTCCTCCTTCTCCTCCTCCTCATCCTCCTCCTCCTCCTTCCTCCTCCTCCCTCCGCTCCCTCCGCCTCCTCCTCCCCCTCCGCCCCTCCGCCTCCCTCCGCCGCCTCCGCCTCCGCTCGCCGCCCCGCCGCCTCCGCCTCCTCCGCCTCTCCTCCTCCTCTTCCTCTCCTCCTCCTCCGCCTCCTCCTCCTCCTCTTCCCCCTCTTTCCTCTCCTCCGCCTCTCCCCCTCCTCACCCCTCCTCCCCCCCCTCCCCCTCCTCTCCTTCCTCCCTTCCTCCTCCTCCTCCTCCGCCCCCTCCCCCCCCCTCCTCCCCTCCACACCCTCCTCCCCCCCCTCCCCCTCCCCCTCCCCTCCCTCCACCTCCCTCCGCCTCCCCTCCCCCCGCCTCCCCTACTCCTCCTCCTCCTCCTCCATCCTCCCTCCTCCTCCACCTCCTCCTCCCCCATCCTCCTCTTCCTCCTCCTCCTCCTCCTCCTCCTCCTCCTCCTCCTCCTCCTCACCTCCTCCCCTCCCCCTCCCCTCCCTCCCCCTCCTCCTCCCCCTCCCCCTCCCCTCCCCCTCCTCCTTCCCCCCCCCCTCCCCTCCCCCTCCCCCCCCTCATCCCCTCCTCCCCTCTTCTTATTATTATTATTATTTAGTATTATTATTATTATATTATTATTTATTATCATATTATTATTATTATTATTATTATTATTATTATTATTATTAGTATTATTATTATTGTTATTATTAGTATTTTTATTATTATCATTATTATTAGTAGTAGTATTATTATTATTAATAATAATAATATTATCATTAGTATTATTAGTAGTATTAGTATTATTAGTATTATTAGTATTATTATTATCAGTATTAGTATTAGTATTATTATTTGTAGTAGTAGTATTATTATGATGATTAGTATTATTATTAGTATTATTAGTATTATTATTATTTATAATAATAATAATATTAGTAGTAGTATTATCATTATTACTATTCGTATTATTATTATTATTCCTCCTCCTCCTCCTCCTCCTCCGCCTCCTCCTCCTCTTCCTCCTCCTGCTCCTCCTCCTCCAACTCCTCCTCCTCCCTCCTCCTCCTCCTCCTCCTCCTCCTCTCCTCCTCCTCGTCCTCCTCCTACTCCCTCCTCCTCCTCCTCCTCCTCCCCCTCCTCCTCCCCTCCGCCTCCCCTCCCCCTCCTCCTCCTCCTCCTCCTCCTCCTCCTCCCTCCTCCTCCCTCGCTCCTCCTCCTCCTCCTCCTCCCTCCTCTCCTCCTCCTCCGACTCCCCCTCCCCTCCCCCTCCCGCTCTTCCTCCCCTCCTCCTCCTCCTCCTCACTCTCCCTCCTCCTCCTCCTCCGCCTCTCCCTCCTCCACCTCCGCCTCCGCCCATCCGCCTCCGCCTCCGCCTCCGCCTCCGCCTCCGCTCCGCCTCCTCCTCCGCCCCTCCTCTCCTCCTCCTCCTCCCCCTCCTCCTCCTCCTCCTCCTCCTCCTCCTCCTCCTCCTCCTCCTCCTCCCCCTCCCCTCTCCTCCTCCTCCT